GTTTTTTGATAGGGCAATGTATCAGGATGTATCAGTATCTTTGTATTTTTTTGATAAAATTTGACTTAATTTTCTGCCTGAAAGAAACATAAATTGTACCGGTAAATCAAAATCATATCTTTTCACAATTTTTTTCCCAATACATTCTGATGCAATGTGAAACCTTTGGGATGAAGGGAATTATGCAATAAATGGGATATTCCTCTATAACTGACTTGTCGTGGGCTTCAGATGTTTTCTTTTCTAGCATTGAGATGACCTTGTTTATGGATTGTAGCGGGAAATCGTTCTGGACTGTTAATTCGTTTTTCGGCACTTTGATATCCGACTGTAAATGTTCGTTGCTGGAGCAAATTGTCTTCACTGAATGATAGAGAGTTTTTATTACGCCTAATTTTTGTGAAGGATCGAGGTAAGAGTTCCAGGGTAAGTGTAAGCCAGTATGGGTGATTTCGTGATAGATGGAGGTGTGGAAAGTTTTGTTCTGTCTTTTGACAAGAACATTCAGGAATGGAAGTGTGTAATTTTCTTCATATTCAATCATAAATTGGATATCAGGATGGATTAGGTTCAGGTATGGTAAAAACTTTTCAATGGATGATGAATCCTGGAATCCAGAAAAAATATCATCCACATATCTTACCCAGAAAATAGGTGGATGAAGGAAAGTTGAAATAGCTTGGTGTTAAATTCTAATCATAAAAAGGTTTGCGAGAACGGGGGCAATAGAATTTCCTATGCTTAATCCTTTTATTTTATTGTAATTGAGGCTTTGAAGTTACGAAATATAGACAGTTTTACAAAATTTCAGAAGAGAGTAAACATCTTGGAGAGGGGTCGTTACCGAAACATTCGAGAGCATGATTGATGGCTTCAGAAACAGGTATTTGTGTAAATAAACTTTTTACATCAAAACTGACAAGAACAGAAAGTAGGTTGAAATGTTTAAATTTGTTGACAAATTCTATGGAGTTTTTTATAAAAGACGAGGCACTGCTGACATAAAGAGAAAATATCCACGCTAGATATTTGCCTAAGTTGAAATTAAATGCCCCAAAGGCTGATACAATAGGTCTTAGAGGATAAATAGGTTTATGAGCCTTAGGAAGACTGTAGATTTGTGGGGTACACGAGTCAGATGGTCTGAGAAAATTATATAGCGGATCAGTAAGAGACTTGGACTTTTTTAGTTTAATGAAAATAAGCATAGTTTCTTTTCACGGGTAGGTGTTACGTTTTCGCTCAGGAATTCAAAATGATTCTTGTCACGTAAAATTTCATTTATCAAGTTTACTTTTAAATAGTGAATGGTATTATTGTAAGTCGATCATTTAAAATTAAACAGCTAAAATGGGACACAGTTAAAAAATAAAAACATCAACAAAACATTCTAAAACACCCGAGCTTTTATACACAAGATGTAACAACAACTCGAAGAGGGATGTAAATATAGATTCCTCACGTTTCTCTACTAGAAAGATTACGGCAAAACATCCCTCAACTAGATTAACATGTACAATAAGGCAACATTTAATTTTTGAGGAACATGTGTGTGAAACTGTTGTACATGAAAATCCATTCGAGAATATATAAAAGACTTACCAAAAATAATATGTTTAATTTCCTATTTCATATTGAAAAGACCGAAGCACATAGTCTTGCTTTTCTATCAGATAAGTCTCAAATCTTACCTTTCTACAACCTAAATACACTGTTTTGCTTTCTTACCAGCTGAGCATTAATTCTTGCTTTTTTCAGCTCCAAACACAATGTCTTGCATTTCAATCGAGCATCAAATTTTGATTTTCTAAGCTATAACTACACTGTCTTGCTTTTCAACCAACTAAGTGTAAAATTTTGCTTTTTTAAGCTCTAAATACACTGTCTTGTTTTTCAACCAGCTGAGTGTCAAAATCTTATTTTCTAAGATCTAAACAAGTTGTCTTTCTTTTCTACCAACCAAGTACATCAGAACTTTCCTACTTAAGAAGTGAATGATGTAACAACTGCACAAAGAGGGCCGCAAAACTAGACTCTTCATACATCTTGATGAAATGGATTTCAGGGAAATGTTCATGAACTACATTACTATGAATAATGAGGGAACATTTTATTTTTGAGGAACAAACATTATTGCCACATCTGAGATGATAAGAAACCACAAACAGTTCGTATATATATATATATATATGACTTGACAAAAAAAAATGTTTGTTTTTCTAAATGTCACATCTTGCTGCTTTTCTAAGATCTAAACACATTGTCTTGTTGTTTTTTTATAAGCTAAATATCAAATTTTATTTTCCTACTAGCTTTGCATTAAATGTGGATCAATAAATTCAACAGTAAACTTACTGTCCATTTGCATAAGGTACTCTTGTTTGCATGTCTGAGTATGTCATTGATATGGCTATACATCAGTCTAGAACCTCGTACTCTTTCATTGAAAAGCTGGAGTACTGCTAAACTTAGTGTCTGCACTATATTACACCTGTGTAAGGTAGACAAACACAGGCATTTCTCTTCAATATTAATATCCAGGTTGAATAATTGGGCTGGAACATTTCTGTTTTAAAATAAGAATCAAACATTTTAAAAATGTTTTTAACTTAATGACTACATATTTGAAAGTAATGGTTATGTGTATTATAAAATACCCACACAAGAAAAATTATAAACTAAAATGTTTTTATTGTATCCATTATATTTTAAAAAATCTGATGCAAAAATTCAGTGTAAAAATATGAATTAACAATTCTCAAAACATTTCTTAACCACTTATAGAAAAGAAAACTATCAACTCTTTATTTAAAGGGAAAATTCAAAAGACACATTAAAGACCATATGTTCAGTTTCTACTATTTGTTTTTACCTTTTAATCTTTGAAAGCTTTTCAACTGTTGGATTAAAATATATTTATAAGAGACATCATTTAATGAACTGTTTCATGAAAAGGCTACCTTAAATCATTTAAGCATATAATACTTAGCTAAATACATACTATAACTTTACCATAGATTTATCTTCAATATGAATAACAAACAGTTTTTTATAATTTCTAATTTCAAATATTAAAACAACTAAAAATGTTTGCATTCAAATAAAACAAACAAATAAGAGCTTGGATAATCAGGAATTTAGTTGGCTTGGATATTATTTCAAAATAAAGAAACAACCACCTCTATCTCAAATAGGACTTGAGACTTATAACATAGGAAAAGGTTAAGCAATAAGGAAAAACTCTAGCTGCACATAAATATAATTTATTTATTCATTCAACCTTTAAGGTCCATCAATATTTGATTTCTAACCTAATTTTCAAGATGTTCAACAATGTTAATAAGTATCCATGATCTCTGTTTGCAACAAACTCTCCAGCATTTGACAGACCTGTCACCAAAGCAACAAACATTTCAGGAATGTTGTCTTGGGGAAGAAGAGAGACCAGTGCTGAGGCTGACACTGTTCTGATGGTCCAAACTGGACTCTCAAGAAGCCTCTGCAACAAGGGTATAAACTGGGAAACTTGAGAACTATAAAACAGAAACAGTATTCTTACACATTACAAATAGCTTTAGTGTACACTGAAAAAAATTTTTAAAATGTTACATAATGATTTTTTCTGTGATCCAAAAAAACAAATTTGGCTTTACCATGCATATCTAGAATTAATGAACAGCCTTTTTTATTCAAAAATAAACTAAACAATATTACTGTATTTAATAAAGATTGTGCTTGTCTAATTGTGGTAACCATGGCTCTGTTACCATTAACTTATAACTAAAGTAGGCTTAGGAACAAACTGGTCTGCAGTAAATTCATTTATGATAAGGTATTGTAAGGAGTTTCAGTTTTTATTTTCTTTTTACTCATTAAACAATATTAATAAACCTTTAGAAATTTTTCATGAAAAGAAGTTTATTTTTAACACTATTAGCACTGAAAAAAGTTATCCTATTTTAAAAAATTATGTAAACCTTCATACAAACTGGTAATCAGCTTACTACTGTTTCTCTTGAAAACCCTGGTCTGCAGAAAATCGGGAGAGAAAAGTAAGCAATGGAACCAAGCTGGGATGTACAGATCCCTGGTGGTGACTCATTACAGCATGCTGTAGAGTGCTCAACAAATAGTCATGCAATCGAGGGTATCGAGTAAACACATCAACAACACTACCAACATTCCGCTCAGCATCAACACCTTTCTTCTGTCCAAGTAAACGAGAAACAGCAGCACCTAAAACCACAACTTATAATTACACATAATTATTGATGTAAACTGCTTACATTACACAACATTCATAATATATATTTCTTTTACAACTATAATTTAAAGATAACAGAAAACTAAATGTTATAAATGCTAGTTAAATACTGTGGCTTAGTATTTACAACAAAACCATCCTGAAACCCATAGAGGATAGTGCAAAAGTAGTTACATATATTTTGTTTTCTGTTTAACAATAAACATAAGACAAGCAACAACAAAAGTCTTTGGTATTCACTCTTTGTTACATAGTACATTTTAAAAAATTAACAATTACCAAGATAAGGTCAGCAAACATAATTAAAAGTTATTTGAACTAATAAATGCAGTCATAATGCATAACTATAATTTTATAGAAACACTCTCAGCTGTAGTATGTGTATCTAGCAAATTGCTTATCAAAAGAATAGACAGAGAAGTGTATTTAGTAAGATGCAATAGATTTCATAATCTCCTAGGCTAAAAAAACATTAGAACGTGACCCCCCTCCAAAAAAATAATTGTTTTGAATTTTGGATGTATTTATAATCATAAAAAAGTTTAGTACAAACTAAATAAATCTGCCTTGTACCACTCACAGTGTATTAACAGTATGTAGTGTTTATATATATATATCTTCATAGTGTAATAGAAGTATGAAGTTTTCTAAATAACTCGTGTTGCTATTAATCATACTTTATATTTATTTAAAGAAATCACAGCTTTTTTTGGTGTTTTTCTTTCTGAAAATTTTGTTTATTTGTAGGATGTAAAGTATACTAAGCTTAAGTATCATTGTCAAGTACAAAATCAATTGAAACTTTGTACAAGTAGATTTTTCAGAAATAACAAACAAAAATCCAATGACAAGCTGCAATTTCTTTAAATACCTGTCAGAGATGCAGGTTGGCCTGGCGGTAGAGTTCTGGAGTTCGAAGCTGACAACTCAAGTTCAAATTTTTACAATATCACAAAACAATTCAGGCTGTGAGTGTGTTATAAAAGTGGATTGTAGGTAGTAGGATGTTGCTAACTGGCTGCCTTTCCTCAAGTCAGTAGTTCAAAATTAGGGATGGTGGAAGATAGCCTAGTAGCTTAGCCACATATATAAAATATAAATATTTATATTTCTCAATATTTATTTTCTAAGTTTTATTTTTTTCTTAATCTGATGATTGTACTTGTTTCTTATTACTCAATATAACATCGGGCAGACAAATTTATCAGCTAGAGAACAAAAGTAAAGTTTTACTTCCTAAACAAGTCAAATATCATGACCTGAGAAGCAAAGACCTGCAAACATTTGTAGTCGAATTAGCATCTTTATTGCAGCAGTACTTCTTTAACTACAGGATTTCTAGAACAGCACAAAATAATTCTAATTACTGACACTGAAATCTACAAATCCACTTGTCTTAGGCCTAACATTAGTTAAGCCTATATTAAGTATGCAATAAACACTGTAATTTATGTATGTTTTTTGCTTTAGCTTGGTTAGGGCTAAAGTTCACCATACTTAACACTATCAATAAATAAACTTATAATGGTAATGTATGACCTGATGTCAGATCTTTTTAAAACATTGATATGTTTTAAATATGTTGTCATACAAAATGTCTATTAAAGTATACTTACATCTGTATTTTGTTTACATCCATTGAAATAAAGTACATGTGCATTTACATAGTAAGATGCATGCTCATTGTCAGGACAGTCAAAAACTGAGTATTATTATAACAGATTATACTGTCACAAAAAGATGGACTTAGGTAGTTAGCTTGATAAGCCTTCTAGTGACTCAGTGGTAAGTAGTTCAAAATTGGAGATTTGAAAGATAACCTTGTAGCTATGCCATAAATATAAAATCTATCAACAGTAGGAAGCATAAAAAATTTGTTATATATATATATTGACTCATAGTTCAGATTTTATATCAAAATTTACAAAGTAAAAGAAAATTAACTAGGTGTGTAAGTTTTACTCAACCATGGGAAATACATAAAAATTCACACAATTTTAGTATTATTAATACATACTATACTTATTGTCACCATTTACATAAAATAAAAATATGCAGGCTTTGTAGTGCTGTATTGTAGGGGTGTTTTCTTTGTAGTTCCCATCAATAACAATGTTGTAGATGTAACATGATATTGTGTCACTAATTATATAATAATAAGAATCAAATAACTTACTAAAAATTTTATACAATGTTATGTCTCTGGTCGTTTGTTAATTTCCTGTAAAAATTCTTCCCGAGAAACTTCAGTGATACAAGTCCTTTCTTAAATAAAACTAGTTTATTCTTTCTCAATACAACTTTGCAATACACTTAATTTCCAGTCACTTTAACTTAAACACACACTATAATTCACAACGATTCACGCACTTTACTTACGATGTGACTTGATTATCTGTCTCCCTATCTCTCTGTCTGCCATCCAATTAATTATCTCGCTTTATTTGCCGCGCTTATATACAAGACTAGAGGGCATCTAGAATGCACTCGCCTCTTCACGAACCTTCTAGACACTTATCACAAGTTACCAGCATCACGTGACCTCTGCTGTCGTAACATTAATGATGACATTTGGTTTAGATTAACAAAATTAATAGAAAATGAAAAGTGGTCTGCAAAAAAAGGGCAATATATGTCCATAAAAGAAAATAAATAAACAATAGGGAAAAATTCTATGCTAAGCATATCTATGTGTTACTTGTAAGTAAAAAAAAATATGTTTACACTAAGCAAATAATGATTAAAGGACAAACACAAGTCCCTTTTATTAGAGAAAATAATAATAAACAATCTGAAATATTCCAATATTCACTTATTTGTAATCCAGTTCATGTTACTGGTTATTTGAAATTATTATCTGTCCTGATATTCTGAAGCAATTTTTTAATAGATCGTACCATAAAGCTGAAGAGCTCCATTTCTAACTCCCCAGGAGTGAGAAGAAAATCCATCAATGCAAGTGGGAATTATTTCATCTAAAAATGTTAGGATATGTTTAGAAAGGCTGGCATTGCTGACGAGTTCTCGGAGAATGTGTAATGCTTGAGCCTGGGGAAGATCAGCACACTGATTCACAGAAGCTGGAAGCGGATGATGGATTATCCTGAATAACTCACACAGAGTATAGTCCAATAGCTTATGCTGCAATAAATTATTTTACATTAATAAAAAATTGTAAGCAAGTAGACAATTTAATTTTATATTTCTTTCTTTTTTAATGTTAGTTTCATCAACAACTTTGGTTAATGTATAATATTTTTATTTTGGTTATTTTTAAATTTTTTATTGTATATGTATTGTTTTATTATGAGGATTATTCTGCATTATGAACATAATAAATAGATTTAGGACTAAAATCTCCTAAGTTGGCCAAACCTTGTAAAATATCACTGGGATTATGGCAAAAAATATTGATAACAGCAGGGGAATGCAACTGATCAATTACTGCATGCTAATCTTTATAAGTTTTATTAATATGACACTACATACTCCTAGTTAAACTAGTGTATTAAATTAACTACACAGTTTATTACATTACTTTTTAGTTCTGATCTATGTTGATAGCTTGCTTTGATCAGATGTTATTCATTAATCTTACATTCAAAACACCATAAGAAGATTAAAACATACAATGAATATATTGCTGGAATAAATTTTATTAGCTCTTCAAGGTGTTTATATCCTGTATTAGAAATTATTTGTTTACGTATGATTTCTACGTATGTTGATCGTTTAACAATTAGAATGTAATATACCTAACATGCTCATTACTCAAGCTCATACAGTCACTTTTATCAAACTTTTCAGATAAAAATGCTAGGACATTAATTCATTTCCATTACTTCACACACACACACACACACACACAAAGATGGTTGAGTAGCAGCTAACAGGATAAAAGAAAGCTATTTTTTTTTGTTCCAAATTACCCAGAATTCATGATATATATTCAACTTAAACTAGCAATTAAATGTATGACCTGTTTAACACCTCTATGGTAAAAATATACTGTTTAATAAGAAAGTGAAAATGTAATCATTAAACAGTGAAGATATAGCTTCAGGTATACTGAAATCTATGCATAGGAAAAGGGAAATTTTTTATAGGGATACTGTCTTAAAGAAATGCAAGAAAATATGCAAAAAAATCTATCATACGTGTTGGGAATCTGGTTCGCTTGTGACTACAGCTTGGACAAGAAGGGAAATTCCAGCTGATCGCCGAGTTGTAGAATAGTTTACAGCAGTTTTCATTATACCGACGTAAACCTGAAAATGGCAGAAACAAAGTAAGGATAATGGTATGTACTTTGAATTACAGCAGAAACAGTTCGTAGAGGGTTAATATACTGTAACACTTAAAATTAGTGGAGGCTTTTAACAAAAAAAGTCACACAGACACTGTTCAAACAGTTTATAGTTTTCAAAAGTGAAAAATTGCTCTCACATTTTACAGGCTCAGTCCTAACAACCAGATTCCATATCAGGATATAATGCCACTTGTGACTGGATTCTGTTTTTATATTTTTATCATTAACCTGATCTAACCTACTTAGTTTGTAATTTTTACATTTTACTGACTTTTATTACAATAAAATAAACATACGTAAAAAACAAGAAATTCAGTACTTACATTGGGCTCATTATTTTGATTTCAGTCTGCCTATTTTTTTTGTAATGATGATACTGGTATAATAAGTAACTTTTATTTATTTGAAATATGAACTTAAGAAACCAAATAATAATAATACCTACAAGGTATTAAATGCCCTATAACTAGTATAATTTAAATGGGTTTTTAACTAAAGCATAATTGCCTTAAAATAATCCCCTTAGCTGATCGATCTGAAATTAGCGATAGCAGCTTGTTCATGAACCTGTTGGCAAAATAACTAAAATCTCTACTGGGTATGAAGTAGCACTATAAGTATTTGATAAATCAAAAACTTGTCTATTGGTTACAAATGATATAATAAGAAACATCAGAGAATTATTGGCAATTTGTGAAAGTGTGATAGAAGAGCACGGCAAATGGATTGAACTTTCTGGTTTATATCTTCATAAACAAGGATGAAGGCTATAAAAATGAGACTAAGCATTAATAATGCCTATAACATAATAAGCAATTTATGTTAAACTCAGAACATCATAGAGAGATGATGAAAAAATAGAGAATGGGCAAGTCGGACCAAACAAATATCACATTACACGTTACATTTAAAAATTACCTTTTGGTATTAAAACTTATATAATATTACAATTTGATTTATCAACTATGTTTTGATGCCAAGATTAATGTATAATATTTTATAATAAAATGGTTTAATTACATTTTGAATGTAACTCTGAAAAAAAGTTGTGATATGCACATTTTTACCAACCCGCAGCAAGAGAGTTAATTTGAATCTTCATTTCAGAGTATTTAATTTCGCAAAGATTGACAAAGCCATTCCAATTCTTTTCCTCTCTTTAAACTCAACACTAAAGTTACTTATTCACTGGGAAATTAATGAAATGTTATATGATACAGATTGGGTTTCACCCATCATTTGTTGATGATAATACACGAGTAATATAAGAATAGACAAAGGAATACAGAGAAATGGAGTGTAAAAGTGTCATCAATACATATAATCATTGATAACAAAACTACCAAAAAAATCAGAAAAGTTGTTAGTAAAATGCAGTTACTACAACAGCAGTGCTTGAAACTTGAATTTTGAATAGGTGGGTATTGTCATAAGACTAGTATCAGGTTCATTACATTTTTAAACACTACATTATTAGTTTAGTTCCTTAGGAATTTTCAAGAATTAGAAAAGGGTATAACAATAGTATTCCAACAATACTATATTTGTCATATCCATTGCTGATGACACATTTCACTCAATCCAGAGCTCTTCAGGCCGGCTGGGATAGAACACACAAAGTAATGGTCAGAACACTATTTATATAAGTCATTTGTTACAACAACAATAGTTATGTTGTGTATGCCTTTTACAAGCCAGCAAGGAATGATTACAATTTTACTTGTCATAAGACATAAGTATTAGGCCTATTACATTTCTTTGCTGTCTTGTAAAAGATGTACACACCATAACAATAGCTCGGTCTTGCAGGAAAATTTAAACTTTGCTAAAGTTCAAAAAGAATAAAGCAACTAATAAGGCCATTATTTCTCAACTTCTTTTTTAAGCTTATAAAACACATTATTTTTTGTTAAATAGCCTCCCAAAGAATAACATTACCCTTCTCATTACATCTACATTAACAACAGTGACAAAACGAATTGAAGGCAAGTCTACCCACATACACACCCTCTAGCCTCATTACTGTGCAGATGTTTAAAGTCCTGTGTAAGATTTCCATCTGTAAGTTCTCACTGGTGATTATTTTTTATCTCCATTAAAAAGTGAACAAAAGACAATATCAAGGCTCGTAATGAACATGCGCATAAATAGTTTCAGGTATAATAATGTTTTTATACAACATATACCACAATAGTTTATTATAAGGAAACAGTAAAAGGTGTATAAATATATTTAATACAAGTACATGCTGACCCACCTGCCAAAAACATACATGCTGAACCACAACACATTTAATAGAGAAATTATATTACCATCACAATCTATTACAACATTCAATAGAAAAATTATATTAACATAACCTAGTACAACATTTAATAGAGAAATTATATTGTCAACACAACCTACAACATTTAATAGAGAAATTATATTACCATCACAATCTATTACAACATTCAATAGAGAAATTATATTAACATAACCTAGTACAACATTTAATAGAGAAATTATATTAAAATTACCTAGTAC